GAGGTCGCGGGGGGTGGCCCAGGAGCTGCTGGCGGGGCTGGTGCGGGCTGCAGGCTGCGGGTCGGTGGCTGAATTCCTGCGAGGGAAGAGCGAGGAGGAGGAAGGAAGGTTTGCAGCGGTGCTGGGGATCCTGAAACACGAGCTGACCAAGTGAGTGGGGAGGGGAGGGCAGCGGTGCTGTGTTCGGTTGGTCTGTGTGTAGGAAGTGCTGGAAACTTCTGGGAAGCTGAGCTCGGGCACTGGGAGACACTCAGTGATAAATCTGGGGGCAAGAACTTTACAAACACCCCAGTAATGGAAGGAGGGGAGGGGGGGGGAGAATCAATCCGAGCTGAGAGACCCGGGAAACGTGAGTTCCCGTGTTCCCTGAGCTGGTGTTTTTCTTCCCAGAGACACTTGGAAGTGTAACCCAGCCACAAAGCTGGTGTTCTGCTGGACCCTGCCCCAGGTCACCCGGCCCTGGCTCAGCCCCCACCTGGAGCGGGTCCTCCCACCCTCCCTGCTCCTCTCGGATGACTACAGGGAGGAGAACAAGATCCTGGGGGTGCAGTGCCTGCACCACATCATCCTCAACGTGGTAAGAGGCTGCAGAGATTGGAGCCCTCTCTAGGTGTTGCCTGAAGGAAGGGGGGGCTGGTTGGCAGCTGGGATTCCTGCCTTGTGATCCTGGGGGTGCTCTTGGCCTAGAGATCCTGCACCATCCTCCCCACTGTCCCTTAGTGTTCAAATATGTGTGGTTCTTATGTATATTAACATGAAGCAAAGGGTTGGTTTGGTGCCTTTTGAACTCAGCTGATTGACCCATCAGGGTTTTGCAGAGCAGGGCAGTGAAGTAACAGCCGTGGAACTGCAGAGATGCAGCTGGGGAGGTGAAGGATGCTCCTGTGCAGGGCAGGGCTTAAGGACACTGAGCTATGAGAGCATGTCCAGAGAAGGGCAGTGAGGCTGATGAAGGGTTTGGAGCAGGTGTCTTCTGAGGAGCAGCTGGGGTTTTTCAGCCTGGAGAAAAGGAGGCTGAGGGGAGACCTTCTGGATCTCTACAACTCCCTGAAAGGAGGTTGTAAAGAGATGGGGATCAGGCTGTTCAATGGAGATACAAGTGACAGGACAAGAGGAAATGGCCTCAGGGTGTGTCAGGGGAGGTGTAGGTTGGGTGTCAGGAAGAATTTGTTCCCCAGAAGGGTTGTCAGGCACTGGAACAGGCTGCCCAGGGCAGTGGTGGGGTCACCATCCCTAGAGGCATCCAAGAATCATAGAGACATTGTACTTAGGGAGGTGATTTAGTTAAGAACTAGTTGGTGTTAGTTAGCAGTTGGTCTTTTCCAACCAAGGTGATTCTGTGATTAACTGGCATTTATTTTGGGACCTGCCCCCTCTGGTAAGCAGTGTTCCTGCTGCACAGCAGGTCCCAGGGTGGGGTTGGGAAGACCTGGGGCTCTGAAGGCTCCTCTTTTGTCACCTGAAGAGGCTGCTGAGTGTGACACCCAGGAGTAATGTTCTGTTCCCTGTTTTTGCAGCCAGCTGCTGAGCTCTGCCAGTTCAACAGGGCTCAGGTTGTGTACCATGCTCTGTACAACCACCTCTATTCACGGGAGGCCCCTCTCATCCAGGTAGGACAGAACTTCATTGGGACCTGCCTTGTGAGGTCGTGTGCCAGCCCCAAGAGGGACAACCAGCTAAGGCATGAGGAGAGAGAACCTGATTCATAGAATCCTAGAAGGGTTTGGGTGGGAAAGGACCTTAAAGATCATCTAGATGCAACCCCCTGCATGGGCAGGGACACCTCCCACCAGCCCAGGCTGCTCCAAGCCCCATCCAACCTGCCCTTCAACACCCCCAGGGATGGGGCAGCCACAGCTTCCCTGGGCAACCTGGGCCAGGCTCTCACCACCCTCACACCAAAGAATTCCCTCCTCATCTCCAACTTCCATCTCCCTCTCCCAGTTTTCATCCCTCCCCCTCATCCCCTCCCTCCCTGCCCTTGTCCCAAGCCCCTCCCCAGCTTTCCTGGAGCCCCTTCAGGCACTGGAAGCTGCTCCTAGCCCAACCTTGTGGCCAAGGGACAAACTATCTCAATAGATTTCAGTAAAACCTCCAAATAGAGGGGAGGTCCCTGGTCTCCCATCCCCTTGGAGGTGCCAGCCTGGCTGCAGGGCTGCTGACAGGCAGTAGGAGCAGTCAGGGCTGTCAGGGGAGCTGTGGGTGTCGAGCAGGGTTGGAGGTGACTGTGCCTTTTGGAGCGGGACCGCTCACGTTTCCCAATCTCACACCCCATCCAGGCAGTCCTGCTGTGCCTGCTGGACTTGCTGCCCATCCTGGAGAGAGCCCAGAGGTGGCAGCAGCAGAGCAGCCCCCCTGCTCCCTGCCACCAGGTGCTGCAGCTGGTGCTGACCCAGATGGAAGCCGAGCACCGCCTGGCCCTGCGCAGGGTGTACGCGCGTGCCCTGCCCGCCTTCCTGCAGAGGTGGGAGCAGCTCCCCAACCCCTAGGAACCTTCATCTGTGTCCCCCTCCTCAGCCTGACTTCCTCTGTGTCAGCAGACTTGGCATCCTGATGGTGAGGCACTTGAAGAGGCTGGAGAGAGTTATCTTGGGGTACCTGGAAGTCTGGGATGGCCCTGAGGAAGAGGCCCGGCTGGGAATCCTGGAGGCGCTGCGCTGCGCCATCGAGCACGCCTGGCCCAGGTGGGACACTCTGCACGTCCTGAGTGCTGTCCCTCCCTCAGAGTTCCTGTTGCTTGAGGAAAAGGCCCTGGAATCTTGAGGGAGCATCTGTCAGAGGGAGGAGCCACTGGCATTACTGCTTGGCTGAAAATCCTGGCTCCAAAATTAAGCCTGGTCCTCATTTTGATCTGACTTCTGCCTGTTCTAGAAGGATCAGCTCGGCTAAAAGCTCAGTGTTCACTGTGGAGTGAGCCCTGTGCTGGGAGTTGGGCTGCCTGGTGTCCTGGGACACCCTCCAAAAGTTCCCTCATGCTCAGGGTCTGTGTACCCCCCTCTGGTGGCCACACCAAGCCGGGCAGCTTCTTCAGCCCGGAGCAGTCACCGATCTTGGGCCAGCCTGCTCCGCCCCACATCTTGCCTGGAGCACCTCGGAGCTGCTCAGCAAGGCTGTGCTGTCCCCTGGCTTGAAGAAAAGCTCTGGAATAAGGCACATTTTGTGTTTCTGTCTGCAGGATGCCCTGCAGGCTCCCTGTGCTCCTCCCAGCCCTGCTGAAGTTGATCTGGGATGTTCACACTGACCAGAGCCCAACGCCTGAGCCAGTGAGAGCTGCTTTGCTCCAAGGGGCCACAGAATGTCTCATCCTGCTGGATCGCTGCTCTCAAGGGCAGGTGAAGGTGAGCTGGGGACCCACCTGCTTCAGCTCTGGCCTCTTCTCCCTTGGAAGGGGGCAGTGTGGGGCTCAGTTGCTTCCTCAGCCCAACAAGACTTGGAAAGCATCCATTTCCACCCACACGAGGACTTAATTGATAAGTGATTGATAATTGAGAGCTATCGACAGGTTACCTGTCGTGTCATTCTCTTCCAGCAGATGGCAGGGAGAGGGCTGATAATAATACCCCAAACGTGAGGGTGCCAGGGCCCTGAAAACTGATTCCTTTCTTGTTCCAGGTGCTGCTGGAAGGTGTTTACAGGAGCTGTGAGGAGCCCCGCGTGCAGGAAT